TTGGTGCAAAGATACTTTTATATTGGTCCCCACATTGACAAACAAAAATGGTGGACTTACTCATTTTTAATAGTAATAGGGGATCAAGATGCAACCCACAAAAAGTATAATTTTAGGTGTTTTGACAAGTACTCTGCCGGATTTCAGCCAATTTACATTGGATTTGATATAAAGATACTTTTTGTACAGGTCCCAAACATAAATATAGACAATTTTGGAATTTTTGTCTTTTGCCCAATTTTTTTTTAGTGAGGAAAGTGCAGTTTGGGGTTTTCATCAACTATTCATGTATATGCCAATCAACTTACATGGGATTTGGTACAAAGATACCTTCTTGCAGGTCCCAAGGAGTGATATAGACAGTTTTTGATTTTTCTGCATTTTTCAGGATTTTTCAGGTGTCAAAATTAGCCATGTTGGGATTGTGTGGTGGAGATATGTTACATTCACCCATGAATGTTGGCATTTTTAATTCAATATCCTTTTTTGGATAAACTGCACAAAATATTTATTTCAGGTGAGGCCTAACTAATGATCTGTATAGATAATTACCTCTTCTGAATTTTAATCAGTATGAATAAATACATCCTAAAATTCTATTAGGTTTAATACTAGCAATGGAGTACAGCTTTGATTGACTTATCCACCAATATGCCAAGACCCTTTTCTTCAGTCAGGCTTTTGAGGTAGTTCCCATCTGTATCATATTTTGTGATCCAAATTGTAATAACCCAAATGCATTACTATGTATGTAGTGTAATTCAATGTCAAATACATTTATTTGTCCAAGTTACCAATTCATAAAATTTATTTTGTAATAACATCTTCAATACAAATAGACATCTGGAAACTTAAGTAATTTGCTAATTATGCCCATATCAATATCATCAATTCAAATAAGAAAAAAACAAAGGTTCAAACACTGACTTATGAGTACATGCTTTCTTCTAGTAAGAATAGTTCAGATTGACTTGAATCCATTAATTTAATAACATTTTGCTTTCTTCTATCCAACCACTCTACATATACAATTAAGTTAAGTACACTAGTGTTTCTTCAGCCCTATAGAAGTGTTTTTTTTAGCTAATCTTTTGTGTGGGAACTTATCAAAAGCTTTTTGAAAACCCAAGTCAACTACCTTTCCTTCATCCAGGTAACAAGTAATGTTGTCAAAAAAAGGGAGTAGATTAATAAGATGAGATCTCTTTGGGAATACATGTTTGCTTACATATATGTTATACTTGAGTAAATGCTTTTGTAAAGTTTTTATTTTATCAAAATTATTTTCCAACAGAAGTAAGATAAACTGATCTATAATTCCCAGGAAAACTTACTACACCCATTAAAAATAGAAGTATTGTAAGAAACTATTCAATCCTTAGGCACTTGCCCACTCTATTAACTTACAAAAAATGAATCAGGAGTTCAGTATATCTGAACACTTTGTTTCAAACATGTTTTGGCCATAGTGCTTTATATGTTCTTTATCTCTAGATCATTCAACTTAACACCAAAAAATTTACATCTATATGATAAGGTCAATTCCAATATTTCTAATGGAATGTTCAGAGTCAGGAATATTGTTAATATCATCTCTTGTGTAAATAGAAAAGAAAATTTAAAAGCTCTCAGCCTTGAACAGAAACCTTGCTATCAGCATTCTTTAAAGCCCAACTCTCATTATAATATTTTACTTACTAACATACTTAAAAAAAATCCTCATTACCAGTTTTAATATTATTGGTCAGCTGTTTCTCATAAGCCCTTTTGGTTCCATAATTTCTTTTTGTAATAAAATGCTGAGCTATCATGTAGCTCTGTAAGCCTCTCATTGTATCAGTCAGTTTAAATCCTTAAACTTGTGGAATTTCTTTTCGTTAGGCCTTTTGTAAACCAATTAGGTTTGATCTTCCCTGCTGTCCTTTTCCTCTCTTTAGGAAAATATTTATCTTAAAAGAAATTTAGTTTTAAAGTCTTCCCAGATCTGTTGTTTTAACTCATTATTAGAGCTGGGTGAATTTTTTAATTGATTAATTGTCAAGATCATTAATCAATTACTTTCATTAATTTTTCCAATATTCTCAAACTGTGGTAGGCATACAGATATGTAGTTTTCCTTATCAAAGTATATAAAAAAATTAACAAAAAAATGGTTTTATAGCTGAAAATACACAATCTTATATTTACTTTCAGTATCAGAATCATGAGGGTACTTGAATGTGCACTAAGTGTAATTGAAACTAGGTACCCCATCTTCAAAAGTTTGATAACCACTGGGTTAATCTTCCTTATTTCAGCTAGTTTGTTGTCTTTTTTTAAGTAATTTTTGAATTGTTCATTATTTAATAAGATGCATATCTTCTGACAGTTACCATTTGCACCTTTTGTAATAAGTGTATTTTGTCTTAAAATATTATTTTGGCAAAACATATTGGCACAAATTCTTTTTAAAGATAATCTGAATATTTCCTACTTGGTGGCTTACTAATATCAAGTTGACCACATGGTTGCCATTTTGTTTGTTTTTATAATATGCAGTAAACTCTTATTGATAAAATGAATTGATATTCAGATAACTAAAATGTGTTTTTACTATTACTGATAACTGTAACAATGTTTGTTTAAAACTTATTGTGATTGGAATTAGCAATAATTAAGTATCTAGTTAGCCATTATTTACCTCAATTGTTTAAATAGGATAAACATAAAAATAATATTAAAATAAATAAGAATTTTACTATATTATTTTATTTGGTGAACATAATGAAAAACACGTTTACAACTATATATATTTATTAAAAACTCTGTAATTGTGTATAAAGAATTCAACATTAACAAATGCAAAATCAAAGAAGCTATCTTAATGGAAGAACACAGCCTTCTCTCTAAACCAGCATCCTGGGGTTG